TTTGTTAACTTATATTTTTAAAAGCCATTTTTTTGTGTGTGGAAAAGATTGCAATTTTCAGGGATCTCCAACTTATCATTTCCAATGTTAAAAGTCAACTAGGAGTGGATATTGTAAATAAATGGCTTTTAGTGTTTCCAAGAATTCAGATTCCATGGGTTGGAGGGGTGGGGAGAGCAGGTGATAGTAGACCATAGAACACTTGGGTTTGAGAAAACCCTGAGCAAGTTCTAATTTTACCCCTTATGTTAGCCACGTGATTCTATATGTTTGGTCTAGTTCTTCTTATACAATGGAAACCACTTCGCTGCAGCTGCAACTGTATTGTGGTCATGAGATGAGAGACTGATTATCTGTGTCCATCAAGGAGCAATTCCCTTCAAGGAAGGAGCAGATACACTTGTTATTTATGTGGACATCCGAAACCAAATTAAACTACATCTTGTAGTATTGATTCTGACCGGTGATGAACTCAGGTGTCTCAGAGTAGACAGCGCCAGAGTGGCTGCAGTCAATAGCGATCACCAGGCCTTTCTTTCACAGCACCCGTGGGTGGATTCAAACTGCCGACCTTTTGATCAGTGGCCAAGAGTGAACTATTTACACAACCTTAGGATGTTTTGGATATCAAATAATATAGGCCTACTTTTCTGCTAAACACATTGCTCGAATAATTAGCTTACTTGCTAAGAGATTTTAGCCTGACTTCTATAAGAGTCTGAAACTAATGTAAAACCAAAGTTACAATATGTAAATGCAAAATCAAGGAATGTTCCTAATGTTTATTTATGACTTCATTACAACAGGGCAGTAAATATATTCCAGTCTCCCAGCAGCCGAAGAAATCAGGAATAGCGCGAGTCACCTTCGACTTGTATAAGTTGAGCCCCAAGGACTTCATTGGCTACCTCAATGTGAAGGCTACCATGTACGAGATGTATTCTGTGTCCTATGACATCAGGTGTACCAGTGCCAAGGCCATGCTGAGGTAAGGGACATCAAAGGGGTCCGTCACAACACTGTTCAAGGTCACAGAATAGAAATTGGGGCTAGCTTACTTCTTTGCTTCCTGGGCACAGAGTCTGAGATTTCAGCCTAACTTGTTATTGTTTAAGCACACTCTATTTTATGTTGTCTTATAACAGCTTAATGTTATGCCCCAAACTTAGCTTTCAAAAGACTTATTTACAAAACAAAAACATGGACTGATCTTGAGCCAAAATAGGCTTTTTTTCCCTCCGAAGTAAAAAAACCACATAACAATTGGGAAGAGCAAATTTCATTTGAAAGCTAGAGTTTTTTAAAACATGAACTCAGAACAACAGTAGCTAAAATCAGAGCACGGGCAGATTCTATCATGTGTCTTTCCAGAAACTTTGTTAACGGGCGTCTCCTGGCCCCGTAGCCCAATGCACTCCTTCTCCACATAGTGCCATCGCCCACCAGCCCCTGAGACGAGTGCCAGGTTGTCTGCAGAGCTTCACTCAGGTGCCTTTAGAAAACAGACTCCCAGTTGCTGCCCAAGACCTCCTGGAACAGTTCTGGGTGATCCAAGGCCTCCCTGGCTGTCCTTGTCACATACCTACCCTGGAGAGCCTCTGCCACAGACCCTGCTTTGACCGGGAGACCTGTTCTTAGCGGGACAACTGCCATCTAGTTGAGGTCAACTCAAAGCTACCCCAAAAGACAGGATGGAAGTGCCCCCCGTGGTTTCCCGACACGGTCACTCTAGGTCACTCTGCGGAAGCAGAAAGCCCGTCTCTCTCCTGTCACAAATAAATAGCTACGCCATATTTGGAAGTGGTTGGGAGAAGCCATGCTGTTTACAGCATGACCCTGGAGCAGAAGCATCTGATCATCTGGTGAATTGGCACGTGCGCTGCAGCAGGGCCTCAGCTGACATTAGAGCACCAGAGCCATCTTCCTCCAATCGGGAGCACTGTGGGTGGCTGCACCGCCTGAGCCCAGAGCGGAAGTGGTCCTAGAGCTTCCCCTCCACCTGACCTGCCTTCTCGTTCCCTCCTCCCAGGAGCATGCTGCGGTTCCTGTCCTATGTCGCCCAGGTGACTGGGCAATTTCTCTTCTCCATGGGCTCCTACATGCTGCGTTTGCTGGGTGACACTGAAGCGCCACCTTCTCCCAGGTCATATTTCAAGGGAAAGCCCATGTTCGGATAACGCTGCACCTGGGGAGCACCACAGGCCTCTACATCCAATTATTCACTTTTGAATAACTAATTCTGAAGATGCTTGTGTGTGGCGTCAGGTGCTGCTTGCACGCAGCTGGACACTGCGACTCAGGCCTGGTCTCCAAAGAAAAGAGGTAGCATGTCCTTTGAAATGCGAGCTTTGCTGCAAGGTGCCCTAGAAGGAAGAGGGAGGTGGGCAGGGGGCTTGTGGAACTTGGTATGTCATCAAGCAGCAGGTGTATCCTGGAGTGGCTAAGGAGTGACAGCCATGCTCTAGACCCATTGCCAAAACTTCATCCCCAGAATTACTTTTACTGTGGGTAATACTTCTTTGTATTTCTCTCTCCTCTCTCTCTCTCTGTCACACACACACACACACACACACACACACACACACACACACACACACACACACACAAATAGGCCAATGCTTTTATGTTCTAACTGATGCAATCACTTTTAAATCTATTAGCACTTGATGACCCCCAAATAAAGCGCTGTCATAAGGGACTGTGTGTGTGTGTGTGTGTTTATTTTGTTTTGTTTTCAGTGAGGGTCCTTCATGAGCCCAAAGGGACTGGAGCCCTTAAGGAGTTGAACTTTCAGAGGTCTTCAAGTGGCATTTCCAGTTCGTTTGTTTTCTCGTCCTTCTGTCTTCTCTCTCTCTCTCTCTCGCTTATGTGTATAATAATACATTTATTTATTCTTCAATGGAATCCCCTGGTCCTGGAATTTCCTCTGTAGAAATATGTTTTTGGTTTAGTTTTAAAAAAAAATTATTATGACAAAATGTTATTTTAACAATAATTTTTAAAGCAATAACTCTCTTTACTCCCCCCTACCTCCACATTCTATTAACTGCTAATCTACTTTGTTGCCATGTGTTTGTATAATTTAGATATAACATATAAATGAGATAATACAGCACTTATATTTTTATGTCTGACTAATTAAATTCTTCACAATTTTTTCCCACATTTCTCCATGTTTTAGCGTCTATCAGGACTTCATTTCTGTTTATATCTGAATAATTTTACACTGTAAGATACACTACATTTTATTCATTCTTTCATCTGTTGATGGGCACTATTTTAGGGTACAAAAGAGACCCCAATCTCAAATATAACTCAAGAAGAATATTTATTAAGTCTTGAAAGGGACAAAGACACAGAAATATCATGTGGTAAAGGGAAGCCATCAGCATCATAATGGCAACCACAGAGTCACTATCAGGGCCCTAGTTAAATAAGGCATGGAGCAAAGGAAACTGTCACAAATCATGATTGGTGGCAGATCATACATCCCGGTCACTGGCAGGATTACAGAAATGGGAGCAGGACCAAGATTGGGACATGTGTATTATGTTAGATATAAAAGCTTATAAGATCGGTCCAGGGCCTTTCAGACCAAGGCTGTCAGGGCACGACATAGGGCATGACTCACTCAGGAACATGCAGCATCCTGTCCTGTCCCCCTACAGTGCTCTCCATTAAGGACACACCAAGCAAGCCCCTACGAGAGACTACCTTTGCTGGGCTGGCTACAGACGGATGGAGGTCATCCACTTCCTGATGCACTCTGCCTGAAGGAAGGTCGATTATCTATATCCTTGGTTAATGATCAGAAGGAATTCAATGGAAGCTACATGGGGACTCTGCAAATGAATTCTGGGTACTGCCATCCATAGCCTCCTGCAAATGGGGGGCTCGGAATTTAAGCTCTAATACGAACCTTAGGCTCTTTCCAACTTTTTGGCTTTTCTAAGTAATGCTGCAGTGAACACTGGTGTACTAGTGTCTGAGTTGATGTTTCCAGTTCTTCTGGGTAGACATTGAAATAGACTTGTTAAGTCATAGTAATTCTATATTTAACTCTTGTTTTTTGTTGTTGAACTTTTGAGGAATTACCAAACTGTTTTCACAGGAACTGCACCGTTTCACATTCCCTCTAGCAGGGGGTGGGGGTCCCACGTTTTCTGCTCGTATTTTTCACTCTTTTGTAGTGGGTGTCAAGTGGTATCTCACTGTGGTTTCGCATTCAAGCTATACTTTCAGCCTTTGTATAAGTAAACTAACCTCGGTGGAAAGGAAGCCATAGTATTAGCAACAACATATTCAGTTCCTAAGGTGACTTAGGCCATTCATAAATCCTGGCTCAGCTGGCAAGATCCCTGATGTCACTGGACTACTAACCTTGTTGCCAGTTGCAAGTGGTGCAGGAGAGTCTGTCATTGTATAGCCAAAGACAGAGACCAGGTGGATTGGAGAGATCTAAGTTTGCTCCTGCAAGGGCGGACAGAAGGAACTCAGGAACACATTAGAAAGCAGCCTGATCATTGGGGGAGCTGCCATCCTTTGTCTCTGAAGACGCTCTTTAAAACTAGAAGCCCACTATGAGACATGACATCCCTCACTGACCAATAGCCCTACAGGGGACAGCACTGGAGACACAGCGTGGGAATTGCATCTGATCTGATCCCGCCATACCAAGGCAAAACACTAAAGGGGTGTAAGGGAATGGAGCAGCGAGGTACCCAGGGAATGACGAAGGTAGACTTTGGGGCCAGGGCTTGGTGCCCCAACTGACTGAAATGGAAAACACTCCTAAAGGCCAACAAACAGTCCTTGAACTAACTACAAGCTTTTCTTTCTTGTGTTTTTTTGTTTGTCATTGGTTTGTTGTTGTTGCTTTGTTGTATATTGTTGCTTGGTTTTGCACTGTCTTGTTTTTGTGCATGTTATTATCTCCACAGGTCTGTCTAAATAAGATAGGCTGGATGAACAATCTGGAGGTGAAAACAACAGGACCAACAGTTCTGGGGGAACATGGGAGAGGGGAAGGTAGGGGGAAAGGTAGTGGTGTTAAGGAACCCAGGGACAAGGGAACAATAAGTGATCCAAATCGGTGGTGAGGAGGGTGTAGGAAACCTGGTAGGGTGTGATCAAGGGTAATGTAACCAAGAGGAATTACTGAAACCCAAATGAAGACTGAGCATGATGGTGGGACAAGAGGAAAGTCAAAGAAAATAGAGGAAAGTGCTAGGAGGCAAAGGGCATTTATAGAGGTCTAAATAAAGGCATGTACATTTGTAAATATATTTATGAGGATGGGGAAATAGTTCTATGTGCCTATATTTATAGGTTTAGTATTAAGGTAGCAGAAGGACATTGGGCCTCCACTCAAATACTCCCTCAATGCAAGAATACTTTCTTCTATTAAATTGGTATTCTATGATGCTCACCTTTCCTGACACAATCACTGAAGACAAAGCAGGTGAATAAGCAAATGCAGTGAAGAAAGCTGATGGTGCCCAACTATCAAAAGATGTAGCATCTGAGGTCTTAAAGGCTTGAAGGTAAACAAGCCATCTAGCCCAGAAGCAACAAAGCTCACATGGAAGAAGCACACCAGCCTGTGTGATCATGAGGTGTTGAAGGGATCAGGTAACAGGCGTCATCAGAACAAAATATCATATCATTGTGGATGAGGGGGAGAGTGTGGAGTGGAGACCCAAAGCCCATTTGTAGGTCACTGGACGTCCCCTTGCAGAGGGGTCTTGGGGAGGAGACGAGCCAGTCAGGGTATGATGTAGCAACGATGAAACATACAACTTTCCTCTAGTTCCTAAATGCTTCCTCCCTCCCCGCCCCCTCACCCCCGCTATCATGATCCCACTTCTACCTTACAAATCTGGCTAGACCAGAGGATGTACACTGGTACAAATAGGAAATGGAAACACAGGGAATTCAGGGCGGATGATCCCTTCAGAACCAGTGGTGTAAGTGGCAATACTGGGAGGGTGGGTTGGAAAGGGGGAACTGATTACAAGGATCTACATATAACCTCCTCCTTGGGGGATGGACAACAGAAAAGTGGGTGAAGGGAGATACTGGCCAGTGCAAGATATGACAAAATAATAATTTATAAATTATCAAGGGTTCATGAGGGAGGGGGGAGCGAGGAGGGAGGGGAAAAATGAGGACCTGATGCCGAGGGCTTAAGTGGAGAGCAAATGTTTTGAGAATGATAAGGGCAATGAATATACAAATGTGCTTTACACAATTGATGTGTGTATGGATTGTGATAAGAGTTGTATGAGGCCCTAATAAAACGATTAAAAAAAAAAAGAATAACAGGAGGGAGCAAACAAACAAACAAAAAAGAACAGGAGAAAGATCTTGCACAAAACTCAACATCGTAAAGAAAGACCAGGCTTACTGGTCTGATGGGAGAACGGTAGAACCCCTTAGGCTAAGGCCTGGAACTGAACTTCACCCAAATGGACGAACTTTAGGGTGAACAGGAGTGCTGGCGGCTCGGTGGGGACTCATAGGAACGCTAACCTCCAGGTCTGCATTGGAAACGACCCACTGCTCTGCACGAGAAGGGGAGACGTAATACTCCTGTAAAGATTTAAGGTGTCCCGAATGCACAGGGGAAGTTCTGCCTTGTCCTTTAGGAGGAACACTGAGCCCGAATTGCCACGATCGGTCGATCGTAGTGGGCTTGTTTGTTTTACTGTAAGGGGAACCGTCATGCCAGGTGGGCAGCCAGGCAAGCACAGAGAGGCAAACAACAAACACCGGAAGGAATTTCTAGCACCAAGAGAGAAGCAGGGACATTCCCCTCATGACTAATGTATAACTAACTGGCTGGCACACAGGAAAGTGGAGGGCAGAGAATATAATTTTTCTTCTTGAAAAGATGGAGAAAGGGAAAGGATGTGTATATGTGTGTATGTGTACCCCTACCCCCAAGGTCAGCTATTCACACCCCCCACCACAGACAGGGCCAAGACAAGGGTTTCTGCCTGCCAAAGGAGTGGATACTCTGCTTACTAAAAATGAATGCTCTGTTTGCTGAAGAAGTGGACCCGCTGCTTGCTAGGAATGAATGGACATTCTGTTTGTTAAGGGAGTTAACATTTCCTTGGCTAGGAAAACAAGCAGTGGCCCCAAAGGTACCAAATCTGGTACATGTCTCACCGTTGAGGTCAGGCTGGGTGGGCATCCTGAAACACCTTACCCAGAGACTTGAGACATCTGGCTTAGAATTGTAGCCTGAAACAAACCCCACTGCCAGCGAGTCAATGCTGACTCAGAACTCGTAGTGGGCTTTCCGTACTGTAACTGTTTAACCAGAGTAGAAAGCCCAGTCTTTCTCCCACAAAGCTTCAGGTGGTTTCGAACTGCCGGCCATGCGGATCACAGCCCAATGCATAAGCCTCTGCAGACGACTCAGAGAGGAATGTAGTAACTAATTAGAAAGGGCTGCTGAGGGGCTGTGAACCTCCTCCCCTTTGGAAACAAGGCTTGTTCCCCTAGACAACGCCCCCCCCCACACACACACACATCCCTATGAAGCAGGGCTACTCTTGTCACACATGGATCTAGGCACGTCATTCTACTTCCATAGAGATTAAAGACAACGCCCCCCCCCAAACACACACACATCCCCCTCTTCATGCGCCTCACTGTGGGGGCCCACTTCCCTCTCAGCTGTTAAAGCTA